GTGACATCTTTGTGCGGGGGTGGGTGAGGCGCCCTGGGCTGGGCGGGGGCCAAGCTGGGCCAGCCCACCTCCTGGCAGCGGGTAGAGGTGGGAGAGGAAACGGGAGCTGTGGGGTCGGGGGGGGCCCTGTGGGTGTGACCACAGCTCTAGAGTGTGGGTGGCCCACAGGTGGCTGAAGGGCCAGCAGGAGGACAAGCAGGACACGGATGTCCACTACCACTCCCTCACTGGCGAGGGAAACTTCAACTGGCGCTACCTGTTCCCCTTCGACTACCTGGCAGCCGAGGAAAAGATTGTCATCTCCAAGAAGGAGTCCATGTTCTCCTGGGACGAGACGGAATACAAGATCCCTGCACGGCTCACCCTGCAGATCTGGGATGCGGACCACTTCTCTGCAGACGACTTCCTGGGTGCAGAGCTGGGCAGAGTGGGCGACACTGGGTGGGGGTGGGGGTGGGGGCCAGCAACCGGAACTGAGGAGGGGCAGGGAGGGGGGTCAGGAACAGGGTGAGCCCACCCTAGAGGGCCAGAGGGATCAGACAGGGTCCCTGCCTCAAGGACCCACCTAACCATGCCCAGAGTAGATGTCCTCAGTGTCATAACCAGTGCCGACAGGGTGCTTGGGTGCTCCAAGGAGGGGCAGTCGGTGCTGCTGAGGGTATGAGTGAGGCTTCCCAAAGGAGTCGGGGAACCTCTTGGGCCTCAGGTTGCTCCTCTGTAAAATCCACTTTCCCCTTAGAACTCTAATTTGCATCTGGGCCAAGCATGTGAGATAGGCAGGATTTTGCAGTGTGGCTGCACAGCAACGGTGTGGGTGGCAGACACCAGGAGAGGTCCTCCAGGCTGAAGGGTCAGCCAGGGAAGCCAGTGTGAGCACCTTGGGTGAGACGAAGGCGCTGGGTCAGGGTGGGGGGGTGGGCAGGAGGAGGAGACACAGGGGAGTCTGTACTCAGCAGCCAGGTGCCAAGGAGCCCTTGCCCCGCCACATTCAGCCCAGAGCTGACTCTGAGGTTGCACAGGGGCCATCGAGCTAGACCTGAACCGGTTCCCACGGGGCGCGAAGACGGCCAAGCAGTGCTCCATGGAGATGGCCACGGGGGAGGTGGACGTGCCCCTGGTTTCCATCTTCAAGCAGAAGCGCATCAAGGGCTGGTGGCCCCTCCTGGCCCGGAATGAAAATGATGAGTTTGAGCTCACGGTGGGCACCACCTCCTACTGGGGCAGTGGGCAGGGCTGGGACAGGTTTGGGTACTGAGGGCCTGATACCTGGCCTGGGCACTGGGAACTTGCTGTCCCCTCTCTGCAGGGCAAGGTAGAAGCGGAGCTGCATCTACTGACGGCCGAGGAGGCAGAGAAGAATCCAGTGGGCCTGGCCCGCAATGAGCCTGACCCACTAGAGAAGCCCAAGTGAGTCCCCTGCCTGGCCCTGCCCCGATGGTTCCTGGGGGCGCTGGAACAGGACAGGAAGGAGGGGCCAGAGCTAGACAAGAATCTTCTAGTTTTCTTGCCCTTACCGCTCTCCTGGCACCTCTGCCCTCTCGGTCACTGCCTGGGCCACAGCCTCATTGTAAGGGCACCTCTTCCTCCTCCCCTCCCTGCACCCTGAATCCCACCACCTCCCTGGGGACCCATCCTGCTCAGAGGGTGAGCAGGGGTGCTGGTGCAGGAATCAGCCTCCTCCAGGATGAACGCTGTGGCTGGGAAAGCAGCTCTGACGGGGGAATTCGGGGCACAAGCTTGGCGGTGGGGCGGTGCCCAGAGTGACACGTATCAGCCCAGGGTATGCCTCCCTGTCTGCCGGGCCCCCTCTCCATACCCCAACCCTCCATCCTTCCATCCTCTCTGTCCTTTCTCCTGGCTTCCTCGCTCTCGTGCTGCTGCAGCCGGCCCGACACGAGCTTCGTCCGGTTCTTGAACCCTCTCAGTTGGCCCGCTACTTCCTGTGGCCCGCGCACCGCTAGCTGGCTGCTCCTCAAACTACCGCTGCTCGTGCCCCCGCCCTGCCTTGCCCTCTTTCTCTGCTCTGTGCCTGGCTACCTGGTCAAGAACATCCTCAGGGCCTGAGCCCCCGCCCCTCCCGGGTGGGCCATTTCTCCTGAGCTGGGTAGCCATGTGGACCGCACTCACACTCACACACACCGGGACTTTCAAGCTTCAAACTAGAGTCGTAGAGTCAGAACTGGAAATGACTGTTTGACATTTTTACATATAAGGCCAGAGAGGTAAAGTAAGTTACCCAACGACACCCAGCAAATCAGGGTAGAGCTAGGACTCGAGCCTAGGTTTCTGAATTGCCACTTCCTCTCCCTGCGACATTCCTGACAGCCAAACCCAACTTCATCAGCAGCAAGAAGTTGAGATGCAGACAGGGAAAGGGAAAGGCTTTGCCCAGGATTCACCAGGCAGTCCTAAATAGTATCTAACAGGTTCCTACCTCCCAGAGGCTTTCTGCTATTTTCTGCCCTGCAGGATAGCCAGCATGCTCTGAGGCCCCCCCACCCAGTCCAGTACTGACAGAGCTTGGCATGCACTGTCTCACTTAGCCTTTTCACCAACCCCTGGAGGTAGATACTACTATTAGCCCCATTTTATAAATTAGGAAACTGAGACTCAAAGAAGTGCCTAGCTTGCCTGTCACAGCCGGGATGGGAAGCCAGGTGCCCTGTCCCCTGCGCCCATGCTCTGCAGCAGCCCTTACACTGGGCTCGGCTCTGGCAGCATACGGTCCACGTCCTGGAGGAACTGGCAGGGAGGTAGTTTGAAAAGACAAATACTTTAATTGTATGCCTTCACATTTTATAAAGCCTATGGCTTTTGCAACACAGAAAGTGGGGCTGGGCAAGCACTTCCTGGCTAGTGGGCTGTGCAGAGGTAGAGCAGCCATTTACACCCTGGGGGTGGGCAGGCTGGTGAGGGTGGCACGCACCCCTCCAGGGCTCCTGGGACTCTTGGCAGGCATGGTGGGCACAGTTGCTTGTGCTCACAGAAAGGGAAAGAGATTGAGAATACTGGCCCTACTGAGAGAGGATGTGGGACAGCCCCAGACCACAGACAGTAAACGGCCAAGTAAAGGAACCTTCTAATAATTAGAACCACTTGCAACTCAAAGCCTGCCTCTGCAAGTAGTGAGCTCCCATCATGGTAGGCTGGATGGATGCCCAGCTTCCAAAAATGCTGTCTCGTTTGGGAAGGAGAGCAGAGGCACCAGGCCCTACAGAGGACAACCTTCCTAACCTGCAAGCCTGGTGCTGAGACGTGCGCTTGAGTCCTGGCTCCAGCATTCACTACTCTGGAGACCTCAGCCACAGTGGGGCCTCTTGGGGTCCAGAAGGGCTGAGGGGATAGGGTACCCTTGGAGGTGGCTCCTGCCCACGGCCTGACCTCTGATCCTCCCTCCTACAGCCGGCCAGACACCGCCTTCGTCTGGTTCCTTAACCCTCTCAAGTCCATCAAGTACCTCATCTGCACCCGCTATAAGTGGCTCATCATCAAGATCGTGCTGGCCCTGTTGGGACTGCTTATGCTGGCCCTCTTCCTCTACAGCCTTCCTGGTTACATGGTCAAGAAGCTCCTAGGGGCCTGAAGGTTCCCTCTGCTCCCCACAGCTCCTCTCCCCGGGGTCTGCTCTTTTGCACTTCCTGTGGCTTGGACTGTATCCCCTCCCCTGGGGATTCCGAGGAGCCCTAGGTCCACCCTCCAGCCTCAGGGTCCCAGGAGCTCACTGGGCCCGTGATGCCCAAACGCCCCTCCTTGCCACCCTAAGACTGCTGCCTGTCCAGTCCGCCCCTCTCTCCTTGTCTGTGGGGTTTGCACACAGTAGGAAGGGATGGGGGTGCAGCAGCTCCCTCTGGCCCTATCTTGCTGAGGCGCCACCCTCCTTCCAGCCCTGGCTGCAGAGGATGTACCCCAAACCCTCCCCCAGGCCTTCCAGCTCCAGAACTTTAATGAAATTAACCAAGAATCACAGGCCAGTGTTCCGGGCTTTCAAAAGAATAAACAAGCAAAACACATCACCCCTCCAGGCATAATCTTGTGAGGAGAGCAGACAATACCAGTCTTTGTTCTGTGGGACTGGGCCGGACCCTACCCACAAATCCTGGCTGCTTCTGCCCATTGCTTCACCCCCAGGGAGCCCCTGGAGTGGGTCCTTGGCACACACGCCCATGCCCAGGCCTTGTCCTGCCAGCGAGTATGCACCCCTTCCAGGGCCCCCTCTGCCCGCCTCTGCTCACAGGCCTAGCTGAGGAGCAGAGGAAGAGTGAACATTTTGTGCCCCCACCCCAGGCACCCACTGCTCCGTGCAGACCCCGCCCTTCCACTCCCTTCAGCTGCAGCCAGGAGTTTGCACTTCCAGTGCTGCTGCCTCTGCCGGCCTGAACTGGGTTCCTGTCGGCTGTTTTTCATTTCTTGAGTGGTGATTTTCCTCTTAATAAAAGAAACCAAACACTGAGCTGATGTCTACATGGTCAAGTGAGGGGAGAGCCCCCAGTGTGGGGCACAGGGTCTGCGGACACCGCAAGATTGGCAACTCAACACCAGCTGCCCCTATGGCTTCCCTGCTATGGCCAGTCTCTCATGGCCCAGGATTCAAGGCCGGCCTAAGGCACAGGGCTGCCTGCCCATGAGAGGAACCTCCAGGACAGCCCTCACACCACAGCCCTGAGGACACCACCACAGCCCTGACGAAAGGGTCCTTTAGGCCTAAAAGACCCACAAGTCTCCAGCCTCCGTCCAGAGAAAGCAAACGCCCCCAAAGCAAAAAGCAGGCCCCGATGCCACTGGGCTCACCTCTATCTCACGGACATGGCCCACAAAGTCTCCTCGTGACACTAGGCTTGGCCTCATTAAAGAGACTCAGCCATAACTTTCCAAAGACTTTAATCGTAACCACATTTTGATAGGCCCTATAACAACAGCTCTGGGGAACCCGAGTGTGCCAGACGCAGCTCCCAGGGTGGTTTGTGCCAGCTCCAGCACCCACCAGTGTCAGCACTAATATGTCAGCCCTTTGAGGCCGAGCTCTCTTTGGTGGGTACGCGGAACACCTGAGTCGGAGGAACCTGCAGTTCAGAGTTGATCTGGAAAAGAAAGAGTGGGCTCGTCAAGTTTTCCCCAGGTTCCTCTCCCATGACCTCTGGGGCTCAGGTGCACGAGCTCTCTCACATATGTCTCCCCATCTCTGCAAACATTTCCTCTCCAAAGCAGAGGGAGGCCTTTGAAGGGCCACAGACTTCTTCCCACAGAAGACAAGTCTTGGACCTTCTTGGTCAGCTTCTACCCCACTTAGCTACCCTCTGGCAATGTTGTTACTCTTCCTCTAATCAGTCTCTTAGATGGTCACCTCTCCCCTCCGTCCCTTGCCCATCCCGTTCCCATTTCAGCCCCACCCTTACCTCCTCCCTTCCCATCCTATTGTACACAGTAGCATGGGTGGAAGCATGGGGCAAACAGTACCCACCGTGTCTGAGTTCCTGTCACAAGAGGCCATCATGATACCCAGGCACACCAGGTCCCCCTTTTGGGTGTGTCCCGGGGCCTGAGACGTGCCAGGGCCTCACATCCCCTGTGCGTGGACTTGTGGCCGGCCTGTCACCTCTCACATGGACAGCCAATGGCTGAGTACCTATGCTCGGTCCAGCGCGTCACAACCCTCCTGGCACACAGCCTCAGTGTCCCGTGTGAAGACCCCACCCCAGCTGAGCAGGGCAAGAAACTGATAAAAGGACTCTGGAAGCAGAGAGCTGTTCTCTTGCAGGCAGAGGGGGTGTGGCCACAACTGTGGCTGGAGGAGGCCGGAGTGAGGGCCAGGGGACAGCTGCCCTGGCAGGGCCCTCTCTTTGTGCCAGAGAACCTGGGCTGGCGGAGTATGATGGGCCCAGGGTTCTGAGCAAATCACAAGGTCTCCAAGCTATGATTCTCCTTTTTGTGAAACAGGGAGAATAATTTCTGCCCTGTCTACCCCATAGAATGGTTCTTAGGATCAAGGAAGAAAACACGTATGGAGGGCTCTGTTGGCTTTGGCACTGCCGACAGGAGTGGTCCCAATAGCAGCTGGTACCACAGGGCACGGGCATCAGAGGAACACTGTTACAGCCAGCTGTCCTGGAGAAGACATCAGGCAATATCCACTCCCTCACCCGATGGTTCTGTCTCAACCTGAGGCCAACTGTTAATTTCTTGCCTCACATCTCAAAGCTCGCTTGCCTCTGGTGGGGGAGTTGTTGTTGTTGTTAGGTGCCGTCGAGTCGGTTCCGACTCATAGCCACGCTGTGTACAACAGAATGAAACACTGCGCAGTCCTGCACCATCCTCACAATCATTGTTATGCTTGAGCCCGTTGTTGCAGCCACTGTGTCAATCTATCTCGTTGAGCGTCTTCCTATTTTTCATTGTCCCTCTACTTTACCAAGCTGGTAGGAGAGGGGTTCCTCATTTCCCACCGTCAGCTCCAGCCCCCCACCCCTGCCTGCCCAGCCTCCTCGGAAGGTCTGTGCACCCACCTTGGAATCTAGATATTGCTGCAGCAGCATCTGGAGCTCCGTGTTCTGCTGCTCCAGAGAGTCGTTTTCTAGCAGCAGCCTGGCCCTCTCGGTCAGGATGAGGCTTTGAGCAGAAAAACAAGTTAGAGGCCCGCTGAATCCTCCATCCTATACCTTGTAGGGGCCAGGATCTCCATGTTTCTGTTCTGGTTGGAGGTGGAGGAGGACCCCAGAAGCTCACATTGCTCCTAGAAGCTTCTCTTATCACTCAGCCACCAGAGCAGCCCTCCCTGACAGAACAGAGTGGCAGCGCCGGGGCCACCACCCACACTGCCCCGACAGGACTTGCCCTCCCAGCCAAAGGCAGCTTTCCTCTCCAAGATCTCACATAAGCAGGCAAATGTGGCTGCTCCAAGAAGGATCCTTCCCCCTCCTACCTGCCTGGCACCCCTTTCGCCTGGTCCATGATATACACAAGCAAACAAAAAAAACCTAACCCACTGCCGTGGAGTCAATTCTGACTCATGGCAATCCCATGTGTTACAGAGTAGAACTGCTCCATAGGGTTTTCTTGGCTGTAATCTTTCCAGAAGCAGATTGCCAGGCCTTTCTTCCACAGTACTGCTGGATGGGTTCGAGCCACCAACCTTTAGGTTAGTACTGGAGCACAAACCATTTGTGCCACCCAGGAACCTCATGACATAAACACTCACTGGTACTTCTCCAAGGCTGTGTACAGAGCGTCCCAGACGTTCTCCTTGGCGGGAGGGATAACGGTGGTGAGGGCCTTCCAGTACTCAGAGTCCTTTGAGTCATCTCGCACATCCTTCTGCTTCTTCAGTGGCGTTCGAGGGTCCCTGAGGGCAAAAGCACTGGTACCATCATCTCCATCTGGCACACCCAGGCACTCAGCAGTGCCAGTCAGGCCCCTATCCTCACAAAGGCATGGCCTGCATTCACATTACTGCCTTTTCACCCATTACCTTCCCACTCAGCTGTAGAGTTCACCAGATCATGGAAGATTCTCAGAAACTAAACATGCTTATCATCAATTTTCCTGATTTTTGGTGGGGATTCTGGGTCAGCTCTGTGAAAGCATCACTGGAGTTTCTTCCACCCCCTCTTTCTTTTAATCATTTTACTTCAATGGCTCTACAGCTCATTAAGCCCACCCATCGCCCTCGAGTGGATTCCAACTCACAGTGACCCTCTAGGATAGAGTTCCCTATGGAAACTGCCCCATAGAGCTTCCAAGGCTGTAAATCTTTACGGAAGCAAACTGTTATGTCTTTCTCCTGCAGAGCAGCTGGTGGGTTCAAACTGCCGACCTTTTGCTTAGCAGTCGAGCACTTTAACCACTGTGCCACCAGGGTTCCTTACAGCTCATTACTACACCCCATTTCTTTCACCAGTACATCCAAAATAGCTCTTAAAATTTGTCATCTCCCTTCCATCCCTTCTATGATGGTCTTAATCTGCGAAATTACTGCCTCCCAACTGGAGGAACCCCCCCAACTGCTTTCCCTGTCTCCGGCATCACCCCCTCCCTGTGCCAAAGTGACTTTTCTAAACTGCAAGTCCAATCACCACGCCCCCATCGCTTAAAACCATTTCCTGGCTTCCAGTCAGCTAACAGGTGAAGACCACGCTCTGTGGCACAGCGGGCAAGGCTCCCCAAGGTCTGGCCTGGCTCCCCTGCCACCGGCCCCACCACCCAGATGCTTGGTCTGCATGCACACTGCTCTGTCATGACTCTCTTTCCCTGCTGTAACGTCCTGAAATGCCCTCTCCCTATTCTATCCACCCAGCAAAAAGCATCTCCTTCTAAAGCCCTCTCCAGCATGCCAAGTGGAGTTAACCACATCCTCCTCTGAGCAACTCTGTACCTTGTGCGTGCACTTACCGCTGTCCCCATCACAAGATATTTTCCCGAGAGTCTGCACATGGCAGACCTCAACAAATGTTTGTTTAATGAATGAATGACAAATGAAAGAACACAAATCACTACTACACTCACTAATACACTCAGGAACTCCCCTATCCCTCCTTTCCAATATCCATTTCCTCGCTAACCACTCCCCCCACCCACCCCCTCCCTGTCCGGGCTCCTGCTCAGCAGCCTCTTTGCTCGCTGGTGTCTGCTTGGCTCCTCATCCAGCTCCCCAGTTCTCAGCAAGCCCTCAGTGCCACAGCCTACCTGGGCTTGTTCAGACCCATGACGAAGGCCTCCAGAGCCTTGAGGACATCATTGGGGTGGATGAGTCTGGGAGAAGATGGGACCTCCTGCTCCGCCTGTGAAAGCTTCTCCTTTCCTGCCTCAATGGGTAACTTCTCTACTGACTCCGGTGCTACCATCACACTTGACCGTTCCTGTAGAGGGGTACAGAGATTCCAGGGGGTGATCTGGGGAAAGATGCCAAGGTAACTATGGGTTGGGCATACATAGCATGGGAGTATGAAGAAAGACAGTAAGAGAAGAAAATTGAAAAAGCTTGCCTACAGATACAAAGGGAGACACTGACAGAGGAAAGAAATGGTGGAAATAGAGGAGAAAGTGGAAAAGAAGGAGAGTGGACCAGGGAGAGGCAGGTAGGGGGCTCCAAAACGATGGTGACGCTGTTTCTCAATCTGGACTCACAGGTATTCGTTTTACTGAGATTCATAAACCTTACTTATTATAAATATCTTCTTGAATCACAATGCAAATTACATTTTATTTTAATATTTATATTTGAAAAGCCTCCCTCCTACTCCAGTCCCACAGTTCCTTCAGTTTACCTCCCACAGGCAAACCATTGTTACCAGTTTCTTACGTATCCTTCAAAGAAATATTACATATATGTGCGTAAATACATACACATGCACACATTGCTTGTACATATGGATATAAAAACAAATACATACACACACATATTTATACACATACATACTTTTCCTTCCCTTTTTTACAAACATGATACCATATTATATATATAGTCCTGAACTTTGTTTATTTTTCACATACCAGTAAGCCTTAGATATTTTCCCATACAAACACATAAAAAACATCTTTTTTTAATAATGGTTGCATAGTATTCGATTGTATATATGTACCATATATTATTTAATTAGTTCCTTAATGATGGACATTTAGGTTGTTTCCAATTTTCTGCCATTTCAAACAATGCTGCACTGAATAATCTACAATAAACACATCATTTCAAATGTATTGGGATGTATCCACAGACTAAAATCCCATAAGAGGAATTGCTGGGTAAAATGCATATGATTTTGTAATTTGTAACTGATACGGCCAAACTGCCCTCCATGGAGGTTACAACAATTTACACTCCCACCAGCAACCATGAAAGTGCCTGCTTCTCACACCTCAGCCATCACTACGTGTTATCAAGCTTTTAGATTTTGGCCAACCTGAGAGGTGAAAAATGGAATTCGGGGCAGTTTTAATTTGCATTTCTCTTGTTACAAGTAAGTTTGATTATCTTTTCTTATGTTTAAAAGTTATTTGTATTGCCTCTTCTATGAGCTGTTTGCTCAGATCCCTTGCCTATTCATTGAGTTGTTGGTCTTTTTCTTATTAGTTTATAGGAGTTCTTTATATATTGAGGAAATTAACCCTTAACTGTGATATGAGTTGAAATTTTTCCCCAGCACGTCACCTATCTTTTAACTTTGCTTATACTCATTTTTGCCTTGTAGAATTTTTTTAATGTAGTCAAATTATCTCCCCCCGCCCCAACCCTTTTCTGACTTCTGAGTTTTGCCCACTCAGCTAGCCAACTGTTTTTGGAGGTATATCAGGATACTCACACTGGGGCTGGCAAATAATACCATTTTTAAAATTCAAAATAATTTTTAATATGATAGCTTCATTTATCCGAATAGCTGATATTTGATTCTCCTAGTGAAATCAATTACATTCGGGATAGGTATTACAAACGGGCCCCGCTTTCCAGAAAGTGTTAAGGATCAAACTATTCAGAAGTTGGTGGCCCGGTCTCACAGTGGCTGAGGCCTGGCTCTGAGGGAATACCCAGGAAAAGATTGATTGGGCCATAGCATAAGAACAACACCTCATCTCTAGCCATTCTTCCACTTGCAAATTGAAGAAAATTATAACAATAAGGGAAATGCTACTTTAGCTATCCCTGACATAAACTCCCCACTACGTCTCCTGAGGTATTATTCAACGGCAGCAATGCCCTCTGGGGGCTTCCAGGAGAATTGGAAATTCTTTTTTTCTTTTTCCTTATTTAACATTTTATTTATTTATATTTTTGAATTGATAATACATAAACTAAACAAAACTGAATCAGTTGCTGTTGACTTGATTCTGATTCATGGCCACCTCATGTGTTTCAGAGTAGAACTGCTCCACAGGGGTTTTATACACATGGTTAAAAAATTTAAAGCTGCAAAATGGTATACAGCACCACACCTTACCTGGCTAGAGGGTAAATGATGAGCTCGGTATTTGAGGAAGAAGTTCACCAGTTTATACAAGTCATCCTCACTTTCAATTCCAAGGGCCTGGGGAAAAATGGGATGGCTGCTCAAAACACGCCATCAGAGAAAAGAGAGCGAGTTCACAGGCTTGGGGAGTTACACAGACCCTCAGCCCCTAAAAGCCAGAAGCTTGGCTTGTTTCCTCTGCATCCCGGGTGTCTGGCCCAGAGCAGAGGGCATGCAGCACTGGAAAACTGCAGTGAAACAGGGACATCAACGCATTAGACAGAGAGAGAGAAACAGTGCTGACATAGTCAGGAACAGCTCCATTCAGATGTGGGGGGTTTGAAAATAAATGCTAACAGGGGTCTAAACACAGAGCTGAGTTTGGAGGTGCAAGGGAGAACCCACAAAAAGCTGGGCTATGAGATACAAAAGCTAGCAGAGGAAGGTCACTGATGGGGGATACGTAAACAGTGCTGAGGCCAATTTGTTGCTTGGATTGTAAATAAAGAGAAGGATATCATGCTGAGCCCAGGGAAGCCCCAGAAAACCCCTGTCTACTCCAGGGCTGAGGCAATGTCAGAAAAACGTAAGAGCTCTCTCGGGCTGAGGCAGGCTTTGGTGAAGGATTGATTACCCAGTAAGCAAGGTACGTACGGGCTTACTTGTGCTTACGTACTAATATACAGTGCACAACTTCACCTGTTTTGCTTTGATGTGGTGAAACCCATGTGAAATTGTGCACTGCAGATTAGTGAATAAACACAAGTAAGCCTGTGTGTACCTTGCTTAATGTAAGCCCATGTGTACCTTACTTGCTTGTGAATCCACCCCAGGCTTCACCCCACCCCGGGTCCACTCAGAGCCAGGGAAACTCACTGAGAAGATGGCGTCCAACCTCAGCAGATAGCACTCGCTCTTCTCCAGGGGGAGGAGAAGGCTCAGCAGCTTGCTCTCAATCAGAAAACCCTGAGGAAAAGGAAGAAGCAGTGAGATACAGGTTTCAGAAACCAGTGCTAGGATCTGCAAGCTTCCTCTGCATAACCATCCAGGGGCAATTCCACGGAGCAGAGCCTCCAGGCATGAGACTTGGAGCAGCAGGGTCTCCAGAGAAGACCTTGCTGGGATGCCTAAGAGCCATTCTAGGGAGCAAGGCCAGGGACAAAGCCAATCCTCATCATGGATTTAGTCTGCACCCACCTCAAAAGAGTGCTAACTTACCATAAGCCATTGGACAAATACCTGCGTTCCCCATAGCAGTCCAAACCTGATTCAGTCACAGATTCCCATCTGCCCAGTGTCACTTCACTCAAGTTCTAATCCCCACATGTCTATTAGAACACAGCAGTAGGCACTGAGCTGGAGAGAGGAAGGCATGGAGGGAGATGAACATGCCACATCAGAACACAGCACACAGGAAGTGGAGGGGAGGAAGGTAGGTGAGAAACTTGAGTGCCCACACTGAACTAGGAAAGTCTAAGGGAAGGCTCCGTGGAGAGGTGGCCACTGGCTGCAAGGCTGCAAATAAAAAGAGGAGGATCTCCCGGTTCACCCCTTCAGGAAATGCCCTCTGTGGTTGGAGAAGGGGCAGTCAGCCCTAGCGCCAAAGAAAACTGTCCCTACTGTCCCAAGTAGACTGGAGGCTGCTGATCCTTGCTCTACCTCATCCACCCACCTTGTTGTTGTTGTGTGCTGTGCCATTGAGTCCATTCTGACTCATAGTGACCCTAGATGACAGAGTAGAACTGTCCCTATAGGGTTTCCTAGGCTGTACTCTTTACGGGAGCAGATCGCCAGGTCTTTCCTCCCACAGAGTGCCTGGTGGGTTCGAACTGCTGACCTTTCGGTTAGCAGCCGAGTGCTTAACCACTGCACCACCAGAACTGTAAAATCTAAATAAACACAGAGCATGTTTGGTAATAACCTGACTTCCAGCTGAACCAGCTCCAATGCAGCCTTGACTCAAAGTCTGATTGTTTTTGCTAATACACAGTCCAGATGTCCAAAGCCTAACATATGCAGCATAAGCTCAAACCAAGCTCCTAGAGAAAGGCCACTGGTCAGTTGTGGCCACATTACTTAGAGGTGGGGAGGTGGGTGCCCCTTTTACCTCAGAACAAGCGATATTTTAAGTTAATGGGCCTGTCAGCCTGCCTGCACTGCCACTTCCTGACCCACTAAGGGAAGAGCCATTTGCCAGATGGGCCAGTTCTAAGCCACCGTCTCTCTGTGAACTTCCTGCGTAGTCCAGGGGCTGTTCCCAGCTCTGATCCTTAGGGCTTGGCCAGTGGAAAGCTGGTCCACTCCTGACTCCAGGCCACATGTGGCCTGGCCAGAGTACACGGAAGTAGCACACGCAGATGCCTCAGCAGAAAGTCTGCTTCTCTGGAGGCAAGGCTACCCTACAAGAGTCTCTCTGCCTTGAGACTAGAGGAACCCCCAAAACTATGGCCCCCGGATGCTCTGTTAAACCAGAACTGAAACCATCCTGAAGCCCACTCTTCAGACAAAGATTAGACAAGACTATAAAACAAAAACTAATGCATGCGAGGAGTGTGCCTCTTAGTTCAATCAGATACACAGGACCAAATGGGCGGCTCCTGTCTGGAGGCAGGATGAGAAGGCAGGAAGGGACAGGAATGGGTTGAATGGACACAAGGAACCTGGGGTGGAAAGGGGGAGTGTGCTGTCACATTGTGGGGATTGCAACTAATGTCACATAACAATGTGTGTATAAATTTTTGTTTGAGAAATTAACTTGAGCTGTAAACTTTCACCTAAAGCACAATTTAAAAAAGAAAAAAAGAGTCTGTCTGCCGCAGCCCTGGGACCCAGCTTGGGAAGCCAATCTCACCGACTCATCACAAAGGAGCATCAGGATCTTTCTGGTAGTTTTTGCTGAAACTTGCTTTGGCAGGTCCAGGTAAGACTCTAGCTCTGACATGGTCTCTTCTGATCCCTCCTCTTCTGCAGAGGGATAGAGAGAAGAGAGAGAAAGGAAAAAGAAGATAATTTCTTGGCCTTGCTGACTTTGACCAACAGTCAAATGGCTTTCCTTCAGAAAAATTACCTCTTAAAAAGCTGTTTGAGGTAATATCACTGTCTCTTTATGCTGAAGAAAGTCTGTTATGTGGGGAAAAGGGGGCTGCGGGCCAGGGGCATAAAACACTCTATCTTGAGAACTCTGTCCTTCTCAGCCAGCCTATACTTCCTCACTTCTCCAAATTTCATCTCCTGGAAACATCATACTCAAAATCCAGCCATGAAGTAGGAAGTGGGAGGGAGAGTGTGAGCCTGCTTATTGTACTTTACAGACAATCTAGCAGGTTTACTATCTGCTTTCTAAACCTGCAGTAGACTACATGCAGCCAACTAAAAGGGGGCAGAAGTTCAGACTTGAAGAGTAAATAAAACTCACTAGATAGCATATACCCCAAAAAAAACCAAACCCACTGCCTTCAAGTTGATTGCAATTCATAGTGACCCTATAGGACAGACTAGAACTGCCTCATAGGGCTTCTAAGGCTGTAATCTCTACGGAAGCAGACTGCCACATCTTTCTTCCACTTTAACCACTGCACCACCGGGGTTCCTGGACAGAGTATAGAGAGAGAGAAATGAATGACTATGGCCAAGGATAGAACTTGAGAGTGTTAAGATATATAAGAAAGACTTCATCTAATGGGACATGATTCTGAGTCTTTATATCTGTATATAAAGCTGACCTGACATAACCTGACCTTTCAGGCTCTATTCAAATACTCTAAGTATTTGTTAGGCACATCTATCTGGATAATTACCATCTCCAAAACTAAAATAATGCCCTCCGCAACAGCTGTGAGTGTTGTTAGGTGCCGTTGAGTTCATTCTGACTCACAGCGACCCTATGTACAACAGAAGGAAACGCTGCCCTGTCCTGCACCATCCTCACAATTGTTGCTATGCTTGAGCCCACTGTTCCAGCCACTGTGTCAATACATCTCATCAGGGGTCTTCCCCCCAGCTATTCCTCCATAATCCTATTAACTCATTTCAAAATGTCAACATTCCTTTTGATCTTTCGCTCTCCCTCTACCAGTAAGTTTGGTGAATTCATTACTTACAACATTACTTACACATTACTTTTCATCCTTTCTTTGTTATTTCTACGGACAGCACGCTAATTCAGAAACTTTATATATCATATAGAAACTAGATTATCACAACCTTTGCAACTCTTCTTCCATAGTACTCTTTCTATCACAATTCTGATCATGGTCCTTGACTACAAGATCAAATCCAAAGTCTTTAGCCTTCTGTAACTTGGATTTAAGTTTTACAGCCTTATCTCCCCTCACACATCTATATAAATTCCTAGTTCAGCCAATCTGGTATTTTTAATACTACACAAACATATGCATTTTCCATGCCATTTCCTCCATCTGGAATACACTGCTGATTCTTTCAGATTCATATTAAACTTTACTGTTTCCCTGATCACCTCAACTATAAGTGTGTTCACAGAATATTAGAGCTGAAGGGAGATCATCGACTCCATCTGCAAAGTGTATTTTAAAAAATCATCTCCTCTATCTATACAGTTAAAATGATTTGGGAAACGAAGGCCCAAGGACAATAAACATACTTTTCTCTCTGAACATTTGGTTTTTTCAACATACGCTAGTCATATGGGCTTAGAGTTTAGTGAGAAAGACAAATTGCATATAAACTATCACACAAATAATTAAATTTTGATGAGTGCTACAAAGCAAAGGGAAAGTACAGTGTCACTGATGTGTCTACAGTAGGCTGGTTAAGGGAAGTGACGAGGCATGAAGTTAATCTAGTTTGGGATGATGGGGAAGGCTTCCCTGAGGGGAAACGGGAAAAACCTTTTGAGCAGGGATGAAAGAATGAGTAGGAATTGGCTCTCCAAAAATGTAGAACACAACAGGCGGAAGGAAAGCCCAGGGAAAACCACTTTCAAGGAACTAAAGAAGGTCTGGGTACTGAAGTATAATGGCTGAGGTGGGGTTTCAAGAGGTGAGGCTGGAAAGGGACAAGAGCGTGCTGGGCCTTGTAAGGTCATGTTGAGATTCTTGGTTTTACCCTAAGAGCAGTGGGCCTTGCATATCATGTTCCGAAATTCTTGAAGTCAGGACCAAAGCTTACCCTGAGAGGATAAGAGAAACAATTAGGGGATTAGAAAGAATTCCAGTTTTATTTCAGTTGAAACATCTTCTAAATCTCTATCACTCTTCTTTTCGCGTGTGATCTCACTCAAAGTCAAGTTTACAAAAAAAAAAAAAAAAGCATATGAACTTACAAATACAACCATTTCCAGTTGGTCCACTTGGCTTTGACAAGAGGGTACGTATGTATACCTCTAAACACTTAAGGGGGTGAGGGTCTGTTTTATTTTTTAAAAAAGCAAAAAATTCCAAATAATAACAATCTAATGAAAAGCTTTATTTCACTGTTTTGCCATGCTACAGTGCTCTACTTAATTAAAGTTAAATGTTCATTCTCTTGGCCTTTTCCCATGAGATAGATCCCCTATAAAGTAAATATTTTGAAAGAATATCAACAAAATTTTTCCAAAGGATTATTCTAATCTGAATTGCTTTTTCGTCTCATCTTGTTTATACCAGATAATAAATTTCAAATTGCAATGACAAATATAGCTTATTTCCTCTAAAACTGCATTTATGTCAAGGGTAAAATTTAAGGTGGCAAAAGGAGCCCTGGTGAAACAAATGGTTAAGCGTTCGGTTACTAATCGAAAGGTTGACATTCGAACCCACCCACCAGCTCTGCAGGAGAAAGATCTGTTGATCTGCTTCTGTGAAGACTACAGCCAAGAAAACCTTATGAGATAGTTCTACTCTGTCACATGGGGGTAGCTATGAGTCAAAATAACAACAACAACAAAGGTGGCAACGGTACTATGATTAATAAATGTTAAGAACAACAGCTAGAACTTTTTGAGTAATTTCTGTGTACCAGGTATTGGGCTAAACCCGTTGCCGTCTAGTCAATTCTGACTCATAGCGACCCTACAGGACAGAGTAGAACTGTCCCCACAGAGTTCCAAGGAGTGGCTCATGGATTTAAACTGCTGACCTTTTTGTTAGCAGCCGAACTCTTTACCACTCCGCCACCAGCACTCTAGGCATTGGGTTAGGCAACTTAAATACCTCATCTCATTTAACCCTAACGACAACTCTGAGAGGTGTATGTTATTCTCCATTTCACAGATAAGGAGATAGAGGCTTAGAGAAGCAAGGATTTTGCCAAAATACATACACCTTTGGTCTGAGCTTCTAATACAGCAGTCTCCAGTCACATGTGGCTACTGAGCACTTGAAATGTGGCCAGTTTGAAGTGAGACGTGCCACAGTGCAGAAAGCATACGGGATTGCAAAATCTTATTACAAAAAAAAACAAGAAAGTAAATATCTCATTAATAATTTTTAAATATTGATCACATGCTGAAATGACAATACTTTGGATACAGTGGGTTAAATAAAACATATTATTAAAAATTTTTAAAAGGGGGGGTGGCTGCCTCACCAAAGAATATTATCAGCGAGAACTGATAGCTTACAGCAAGAGCCAAAACATTTTTAGTTAAAATTTAAAAAATTTAAATGTTTTATATTATCTGAAAATGGGAATAAAAATCATTGTGCTACCCCAGGTTTTACTGGTTATTCAAAAGGTAAATGAGACAATACATTTGAAAAGTACAAGATATCACATTTCTGGTGGGAATGTAAAATAGTACCACCGCTATGGAGCAATATCCAGCAAAATTATGTAAGCATTTACCCTTTAATTCAACAGTCTCCCTTCAAGGGATCCAACCCAACCATTAACTAGCAAAAATATGAAAAGACAAATACACAAAGCTATTTATTACAGCACTATCTATAACAGCAAAAACAAACAACAAAAAACATCACAAATGTCCAGCAACAGAATAAATGATGAAGAAACAATAAATAAATTAAAAAATAAATTGACACTGTCACACAATGGAGTTCCATGTAAAAAAGGAATAAAGAATATTTCTTTTATTTTACTATATATAATATTTTCTTTTTACTATTATAGAATGGTCTCCAGGATATATTGTTAAGTGAAAAAAGCAACTTGGATAAAAGTGTATACAGTATATCCTTTTGTTTACCTAAAAAATGGGTCAATATGGATATACATATATATATATAATTTTAAAAGTAATGGAAGGATAAACTGTATTTTTTAATAGTTACTTAGAAAGGAGGGATGAAATAGGGTAGAGAGGGTGGAGAAGATAAAAGCTAGACTACTTTGAATATACCTCTGGAAATATGTAAATATTTTACATAATTATAAAACTAAACTGTAACAAAGCCATCCCTCACAATCAAAAGTAAAATGAAACAAAAAAACCTAAATGTATATCTAGTCTGTGACATAACCACATAGAAACTATTCCAAGTGGCTTTAAATACAGTAATCTGTGCATTACTAGTGGGGTATTATCCTAAAAACAAAAAGAAGTACCAAAATGTTTAAATTATTTTTAACAATCATTTGTTGGTGGTGGGGTTGATATTTTATTCTGAGACTGTTCTGCGGTATTATGGGAAAAGCATAAAAGTAACTATTTTGGAGTCATTGAGTACCAAGATTTTCAAGTTGGGAGAAAGAGCATATGCTGATGAGGTTAAGTAAAAAATCCTGGCATCCTGCTGATTAGGCAATATTAGTATGAACTCATTATTTATTTATTTTTTTAAAAAATCCTATACCCTAGCTCTGTCCACTGAAAAGGCTTAGAAACAATGACTAGCCCAAAACAGCGAGCACCACAGCACCGAGATTGTGGTTTCAAAATACCACTTCCTATTTAAAGAAACCAAGTCTCCTTGGAGAAATAAATGGTTGATTCCAGACTTCGGGCAGGAAAGTATAAGCTGAGCCTGGAACATCTGGTCATTCTGGAAAGCAAGGGAGAAATCAACGACTACTGGGATTAGGTTGAAAGGACCAAAAAGTAAACATGAGGAGACTACCATTGGCCAAAGCTGGAACAGTGTGAGAATCAGTAAGGATAACTGCAAAAAACTGTTTAAATCTATGTATTCATAATGATATTTTTTAAAAAATTAGTCATCTTCGGAAGATTCTAGAGACACAGCCCATTATTCTTTCTTCCTTCCCTCCCCCTCTCTCTCTCTTTCTTTTGCACACGTAGCCCTTTATTCCAGTCTGATCTTCCAGGTCCCGTCCCACCCCAGCTCATCGAGAACCATCCACCTCTTGAGCCACCAACACACTGAGGCTTGTCCTGGAATGTGCAGAGCCCACGCCTGGCCCTTGCTGATGCAGTGCAGGGGCAGGCTGGCAGCAGGCGGCTGGCATTCCATCATTCTTAAAACTGGAAAATAGAGGAAGGATAAACAGCTATCCTGCTTGTCCTGTGCAAACTGTAGCTCAGGGTAACAAATAGCTGATGAGGGGAAGATTCTCTTTGCAGAAATACTCCAGCTATTAAATGAACACGTAATGACAGAATTTAGAATATTACCATTTTACAACCGCTAATGCAATTAATGGATCTTAGACAATGATTAAGGGCCCCTGGCGGCGCAGTGGTTAAACCCTCGGCTGCTAACCAAAAGGTCGGTGGTTTAAAACTACCAGCTGCTCCGTGGAAGAGAGATGTGGTAGTCTGCTTCCGTAAAGATTACAGCCTTGGAAGCCCTGTGGGACAGTTCTACTCTATCCTATAGGATTGCTATGAGTCGAAATCGACCTGGCAGCAACGGGTTTTTTTTTTTTTTTTTTTTTGACAATGATTATCAATGGCTGCTGGCATCACAAAAAGAGAGACAGCCCGTCATTAGCTCACCCAATGGAGGTATACAACAGAGTACTTGCCAAAAATAAATTGAACCTGAATCTGAACAAGCCTCTAGCTCTAACTACAAGCTTACAGGTAATAGAGGAGAGACAGAAACATGTTAAAGGCCACCACAAGGATGCAATTAACAAAATTCAGACTGTGGAAAATTCTATCAGATAAACAACACAATTTCTTTAACAAATAAATACAAAGGAAAAAAAAAAGATGGAGGGCAAAGCTATAAATTAGAAGAGACTTAAAACCATATCAACCAATCATACTCAGTGGACTTCCACGCTATTAGCCCTCTTCCCCTCTCTGGACATCAGTTTCTTTATCTGTAAAATGAAATAACCTACCCTAAGATCTCAGAGGGCCCCTCCAGCTATAAGGTTCTACGACCCTGTTCTAGTTACCTGTTTGCATGAGCACCTCTTCTACTATTTCTGTGGCAGATTTCTTTGGTTGCTGAGAAATAGGCCCTAGATTCTTCAGGAACCAGAAATCAGGTGCTGTCCAGGGGAGTCCCAGATGATGGGTATGGATGATTCTGTCTACATCGAAGGCTCTGCCTATCAGATCCTTTGCTTCCTCTTCATTCATCAGCCAAATCTCCCGAAACTTCTCATCATCAATAAGAGCAAAATGCCTGTGAAGGAGAGTCACTGAGCATGGCCAGCTGACCCCAGGGACTGAACAGGGTCTCCTTAATTGACAGTAGGGCAAGAACATGAGGAAGAGCTGTGTTGATGCCTGGGCCTCACCCAATCCCTGTGCCACTGAGTCTCACCTTCACTAAACTGGAAGTCATCCCAACAAGTCTCAAGAAAAGGCAGCTGATGTGTGAGTAAAGGGGCTTAGGAACACACATGAAGGATTATATAGTGCCCCAGACGATGTGTGAGTAAAGGGGCTAAGGAACACACATGCAGGATTATATAGTGCCCCAGCTGATGTGTGAGGAAAGGGGCTGAGGAACACACATGAAGGATTATATAGTGCCCCAGCCGATGTGTGAGGAAAGGGGCTGAGGAACACACATGCAGGTTTATTTAGTGCCCCAGTCCAGCTCCATCTGGTGATAGCAAGTCTACAAGATCACCGCTGCTACCAAACTGGATCCCCACCACCTCTATTTTAGGGCCCAAACTCCTAAAATACCTCATAGCTCTCTGTAGCTCCTTAAATTGCATCACGAGGCGTTTGTAGTCTGAGGTTAGAGACTGATTCTCCTCCTGAAACTGCTTTATCTGCTTGGTATATCTTGATCTCAGGTTGTTAAGTATATCATGCAGTCTGGGTTGAAAGAAAAAAAAAAGTTAGTCTTCAGCTGAATAGAAGGTATAATCCACATTCCTCTCATCCACCTGACTCAACTCTACAACAAACCAGGGTCAGATCGGTGGAATAGCAGGAAACGCTCCCACATTTTCCAAATCACAGCTCCAGCTGCGATCAAGAAAGAAAGGCAGCAGGAGGTAATGAGACTGTTATGGCTTGAATTGTGTCCGCCAAAAATGTGTAACAATTTGGCTAGGCCATGATTCCTAGTATTGTGTGAATGTCCATCATTTTGTCATATGATGTGATTTCTTTATGTGTTGTAAATCCTATCACTATGATGTTAATGAGATGGATTAGTGGCAGTTATATTGATAAGATCTACAAGATTAGATAGTGTCTTAAGCCAATATCTTTTAAGATATAAAAGAGAGAAGCAAGCAGAGAGATAGGGGCTACCTCATACCACCAAGAAAGCAGCGCTGGGAGCAGAGCGCGTCCTTTGGACCCAGGGTTCCTGCACGGAGAAACTCCTAGACCAGGAAAGACGGATGACAAAGACCTTCCTCCAGAGCCAACAGAGAAAGAAAGCCTTCCCCTGGAGCTGATGCTTTGAATCTGGACTTCTAGCCTACTGGAATGTGAGAGAATAAACTTCTGTTTGTTGAAGCCATCCACTTGTGGTATTTCTAAGACAGGGACCTTCTGTAACTAAGCACATTTAAAACAATCCAGAAACCCAAACCCACCACAAGGTTGTCTCCTACTCAAGAGTATGATTGAGTACACACCATTTGTATTGGAAATGCAAACATGCAAGTCAGAACATCCAAACCAGAGTGTCCATATCTAGTACCAATCTCACATATTTACAGAATCTATCTCAAATATTTCATTGTCATTACTTAGATGCTCATTTCATTTCTGAAACAATAGGAAAAAAACTAACAACTGCATACCACAAGCCTATGATACACGGGTTCTCCATCCTCAAGGAGCTGATACTGTTAACAGGTCCAGTAAATCATTAATTCACTCCCCTTCACTCATTCATTCATTAAACATGAAATGTCTCCTTTGTGCCAGGGACATGTTTTAATATTGAATACAAACGTAAACAGAACAAGCCTCTACCAGTCCAATGACAGACAAGGACAAACATTAATTACGGTACAACAAGAAAAGTGCAATAGGAGAGTTTCACACAGGATGCTAAGGGAGCCCAGAAGTGAGGTACATAACTTATCCCAGCTTACAGGGAAGGGGCATGGTCAAAGGTTCCAGGACAGTGAGAAGCAGTTATAGTCTGGCCAGGAGCACTGTGGGTCCAGGACTCCACAGTTCACCACCTCACTGCCATAGGAGCTCTGTCCATGGAAATTCATCCCAGGAAATACCCATGACAGGCACAGCTTCTGCACTCAGAACCACACTTCAACCTTCAACCCACTAAGAGGTGTCTTATATCAATGTCCCCTTTACACAGGAAGAGAAAGGTTGAAGGCCAACATATTTTGAATTTTAAAAATTATAAAAAATAAAAATTTCCCTTTCCTAAGCATTATTCTGAAATAATCAGAAGGTTCCTAAAACACATTTATCACCTGTATTTTCATCCTCAAGAAAATACAAAAAAATATTTAACTTAGTCTCTGATAAAAAGAAACATCTAATGCATTTTCTTAACTACAGCATTCTAGGAGACTTTACATACATGGCCGTAAAAAAAAAAAAATTTCTTTAAGTTGCAGTCCCAAAGTTTTTTTTTATCAATATCATTCAGTAAACAACTTTCTATGAGGTTATCAAATCATCAAAGCTAATAAAACAAAAACGAACTCCAGGGGAGTAATAAAGTTCTGGGAAGGTACACAAGGAAGCTCAACAAAAATCCAGTCTTCAGTGCCTGAGCGGATGTTGAAGATGAAGGGGCGTGAAGCTGGATGACTGGGAAATGGGGAGGGAGGACCAGTCTGTTTCAGAAACTGTACACTGGAAATGACAGCGACTCTCCAAACTGAAATGTTACGTCAGCAGTTCCAGACAAAGAGCAGAGGCTAGGTAGGATTAGGGGTATGAAGTTGGTAGTCATCAAGAAAGAGGTGAGCAGGGGAAGGGTGGGGTGCAGAACTCAAATTCTAGTAAAAAGACCAGACTTAATGGTCTGACTGAGACTGGAGGAACCCTGGAAAGCACGGCCCCTGGATTCTCTATCAGCCCAGAACTAAAACAATTTCTGAGGCCAACTCTTCAGACAAAGATTGGACTGGACTGTGGGACATAAAATGATACTCGTG